TTAGCACTACTGACTCATGGCATCCTGGTTCAATTCCAGCCTTGGGCAACTGTTTGTGTGGAGTTTGCACGTTCTTGCTGTGTCTGCGTGTGTTTCCTCCAGATGCTCTCATTTCCTCCCATAGGCCAAAGATGTGCAGGTTAAGTGGACTGGCCACGTTAAATTGCCCATTGTTTCCAGCGGTGTGCAGGCTAGGTGGATTAACCACAGGAAATGCAGGTTACGAGGCTAGGATAAGGGGAATGGGTCTGGATGGGATGCTCTTCAGACTGTCAATGTGGACTCAATGGGCTAAATGACCTGCTTCCACACTGTAGGGATTCTATGATTCTCTTATGACTGTTGGTTTTTGAGCTCCCACACAAGTAGAAACTAGTTTGGGTGTATACTGAGAGTCAAAACTCTTCAAGCCATGTGGGCTTGGCTACTTGACATCATCCTGAAGTTTCCGAGCTTTGCATAGCACTTTTGAAAGTGAAGCAGCTCAGCAATGCGGCATAATAATATGCTATTGACTGTTCTTTAAATTGCCAGGATTCCATTTAACAGGCACGGGCCTATTTCCTAAGCTGAAGAACAGCAGAAACAAAATGAGCAGTACAAACTTCCTTCTGCTCAGCCACATGCCAGGGCAGTTGGGATGAACGTAGAGATCAAACTCCAAAGAGATGCGATGCCTCAACACAGAGTCTATAGACAGAGAATCGGCTTTCTCTGCATTTACAAACACCCTTTCTTCAGGTGACTCAGATTTTCACAGCAAGTTATTGTTGACGTCCACAGCCTCCTGGAACAAGACGAGCATCTCAATGAGGCACATGAGCCACTAACCAGCCTGTGTCTAACTCCAGAGAGCAACCTTCCTGATAATGGAAAGCGGAAGGGGAAGCAAAGCGGTTTGAGTGTGAGCGATGGATTATTGGTAGCAGGAAAGGAAAAAATTTGTGGATGGTGACTGTGAGATGTGAATATAGGATTCAGTAAATTGGATGAGGGTGAACACAATCTTTCTCACTCACGCACACTTCTCACAACAGGGTTCAAGGGTACTGTACAGGAACCCACAAAGTTATCATGCAGGTACAGCAAGCAATTAAGTAGGCAGTTGGAATGTTGGCCTTTATTACAATGAAATTCAAATACAAGAATAACTAAGTCTTGCTAAAGTAGTAAAATACTTGACAAAACCATACCAGGAGTACTTAATCTTACAGGAAGAATGGGGGAGGGGTGTTGGGTGGTAGTCAGTGAAAAGAAATGAAGGATTGGTTGCTTGGACAAGGTGGTTGTTGCATAATGAAAGACTGTGTAAACTGGGCCTATACGCTGAGTGAGAAGACCGAAAGGTATTCTCATTGAATCATAGCATACTCCAAAAGGAGTTGACAGGTTGGTCATGGAGGGGAATATAGACAGGACATCAACAATAATGATAAAGGATGAGGGGTGAATCATTTAGGACTCAGCCACCATCAGTGCTGAGGAAGGATCACCGGACCCAAAACGTTAACTCTGTTTTTTCCTTCACAGATGCTGCCAGACCTGCTGAGCTTTTCCAGCAAATTTCTTTTTGTTTCTAGTTTATTAGTCCAAGCCTCTAGAATACTCATCCAGTAACATACCATAAATACTACATCACCACACCAAGGGGAAACTGATTGAGTCCTCAAAACTCCAAGATAGGTGGCACTATTGCATAGTTAACTTTCAGGCTTTATTTCTGTTGAATTTTAAAACCAGAACCGCTTAAGACTTCAAACTGGTTTTCATCAAATGAAATATACTGTTGCTTTTCACTGGAGAGAATGAAGATGAGAAGGAAGTAGAATTTTCTCAGCAGTTCCATGGAGAAGCTCACATTATTAGCAATGAATACTTCATGAGCTTTATAAAATAGTGGTTAGTCCGTATCACCGCTCTTTAAAATATATATTTAACATAATCTATTTTAGATAGTTTAGGTTTCCCTAGTCCACTGCTTGCAAATTGTTGTTGGAGAATAAAAGCAAACAGTCTCTTTCATCATCTTCTTACTCATATTACCATACCAGCTCCAAGTGCTTTCACTTTCCATGACCCTGATCTCTATTTATTCTCCCTTACTGCCTCTGCTGCTTCCAGCCATCCCAATTCCAGTCCTCAACCCAACTGTATATGGCCAACCTCCAAGTGAGAAATACCCTTATTGTCACACTTCTGTCAACAGCATCTCATAGCCACATTCCACTATCTCCAACTATAATTGTTTACACAATGAACAATATCCCACATACCCATGTTTCATTCTCTGCCAATTCCATCCATCCATACCACTGCCAAACACAACAGCCTCCTTCAACAATTCCCACATGCCAACACTCTCTTTAATTCCTTCTGTAAATCACTATCCATGTGCCTGGTACTCCATATCCCTTCTCACAATCATTCTACAAAAAAATCTGATATCCTTTCTATTTCATAGTCAAAACCACCATCAGTATTTCCTCATCTATCATTGTGAAATTGAATGGGCAAAGAAATCACAGGGTGTTCCCTGAGATGTACTTCTCACAAGCATCATACCTCACAGGGAGCTCTATATCCCATGCCTATTATTTGATCTTTTGGAAGTTTAATACAATATTCTGAGTACTTTAGGTTTATTCTAGCCATAAATTGCAATTGATCAAAATAATTCTTTGGCAAAACATATGATTATAAAATCAAATGTTCAGAGGTATCACAACATCAAAAGATCACAAGGGATTGTTGAGACAAAGTTGTTCTTAGCTCATTATTTTACTAGACTAGAAATATTGTAAATTGAAAATAAAATGGAGAAAAAGATTCCATGGTTTTCACCTTTTATTCTTACTGCAAACCCATTCATTAATTGCTTTATATGAAATATGTGTTCTCTTGGCAAATTGAATTTATAGGAATATTCCAAACGTAGCTTTTCCATGGTTAACCTACTTACACAAACAGTCCTTTGGTACCTACTTTCCAGTGTCATCATTGTGAGATTTTAATAATATTATGATGATGATTCCAGCTGTTGTTGTTACTGGACCAGTCAGATCCCAGACTGAAATCTGGCTTGATAGATCATGTTTTGTTTTTTTTTCTTTATTTAAGAAGACGGTCTCTCTTTACATGCAAATGATGATAAAATGGAATAAACCAAGCTATTTACATATAACACAACATGAAAGACTTTGAAACACACCTGAGAGGGCAGTCTTTACCTTGGGTTAATGTCACATCTGGAAAATGGCACATCCAAAACTGTAGCACTTTCTTAATGCTGTCACAAGGAATATGAGATTGTACTCAACAATCTGCATTGACCTAGACACAATATTGCTAAATACTAAGACAAGAGGGGACAATATATTAACAGCAGAATGATTGTCAAAAATTAAATGTTTCAATGTGATATCATAGCCACATCAAGCATGCCCTCAGAATGGTCAGTCAACTTTAAATTTTTATAGCTTGCTTAGCCCACTTTTAGTTTTGGAAAGTGTTCCAGTTTAAAATTAAGCGATCAGAGATATTTTAGTCTTAAATAGGATATAGGTTAGTTTATTACGACTACTCCTGTAAAAGTTATTCAAGTAAAAGTGATTGTTATTGGTTGAAAATACAGATAAACATTAAAAGTGGGTGCAGATAAAAGATAACTGTAGGATGAAGAAGTAAAAACAATTTGTTATTTGTCTGGTTTGTTTGAAGAATGCTCTGTCTGAGGTGAAAGCTTTGAAACTGGAAGTCAGAATTCAGCAGCTGCAATGGCTTCTGCAGTTGAATAGTTGGAGGTCTCTCACAAAGGTGCACAGAACAGAACAGGTTCTGGGTGGATGTGAAGACACAGCTTGCTGTCCAATGAGGTTGAGTGCTTACGGTACAGCTTGAAAACAGCAGCTGGACATTGGTTATGGTAAATGAGAGAGAGGGTATTTCAAAACAGAGGCACCCTTTCTCCAGCTGTTCAGACTTTGAAGCAAAAATGGCTTTGCAGCCTGGTCACCACTAGTATTGAAGGAGATCTGAGTGACAGCCTCTGATGGTATGCAGAATGGGCCTCAGTCTGTCTGGAGGACTAGCTCCCCTTAATCGACCACAATCTAATCCATCTCCAGGCACCTCAACTATGACCAATTGCTTCTGGGAGTCTGGAATAATATTCATGATTCTCAGGTAGTCTCCCAGACAAGTTCTATTCAGGCCTGAGTTTGCTTAGCTTCCAAGATCAGGCATGTTCAAACTGGTAGACTCTGGGAACCTGAACACTGACTGTAACAAATGAACAATTAACAGACCTCAACCTTTCATTACTCTGAGTTGTTACCACTGCTTGTGGATGGGTAGTCCTGCTGACCCAACCATTACAACCACCAACCACCTCATATGAATCTGGAAAATTTACCTGGGGGCTGGATGGAATTGCCAAACAATGGCCGAATGAAATCCTAGAACCCTACCACTTCAGCCTTTGCTGCATCAGCTTCCATGAATCCTTTACTTGCTTTTAACTTTTTTAACAATTAGCTCAATTAACCTGCCAAAAAGGAAGAGACTTTCTCATCATTATTGCAATGACGGTGACTACTATTTTTACAAATTGTGCAACTGGAAGAACATGTTCTATAAAGCTGCTCAGGTGCAAGGACTGCATTTTTTTTAAAAAAAGTTACTATCCTAGCTACCTGTAGCATGTATTCAGCACTTTAGTAATTAATTTTAAAGCATTGGTTTCTGAATTAGGTAGAACCTCACATCTGCCACAGTATTAAAAGCTATTTGGAAAATGCGACTAATCTGCAGATGGTTAGAAGAAACATGAATAAGCTGGTGATGATAATGAGGATCTCCAGATACAATAGATGTCTCCAATTAGATCAGAAAGCAAGAGTTAAAATTAAAAACGACAGGTAGAGAAGAGGGAGCTAAGATCAATAAGCTGACCTTTGGCACACATTATCCTTTCCCGTTATATAAACCATGAATATACTTACCTTGTGTAGTCCAGAAAACCTCTGCCTCACCTTCTCTCGACAAAAATTTAGACCCCATGTATGACAAGATTGACTTTCTTCATTGGCTCCAAAGAATCTATGATAAGTTTGCTTGATTGGCAGTTGCCCTTCGTTTCTACAAAAAGAATTATCTTTTGATGGGGGACTCCTGCAGAAACACAGCCAATGCAGTATTTGTATGTCACATTGCTTTGTTTCTGCACTTGCACCTGCTACATCCTTCGATTTTAAGGGCAATCAACAGCCTTCAGGAGTTGCTAGCATAGTATACCTTGACTCCACCTGACCCTTGCATACCCCAGCTAAGAGCACAAAAAAATTTAAATGGGCTGAACACGGCCAGGCCAGTGAAGCACAAGCAGCTGAAGTTCTGCAACTTGGTGCTACTGCACCTACTCCAAATTATTCCACAGTTTTGACCTTGATAGGGTAATAACCAGGTTAACATGGCTATGCTTAAATCTAGGAATTACTTTGTTGATGTCATTGCACTAATTAATAATGCACTATTCATCTGACCTTTTAACATACTCTAGTATGTTAATTTTAAACTGATTAGCACCTCCACTAAAATTGTTTTAAGTGCCCTGATGTTTCAGTAATTTTAGATCTACAATATTAGGTTTACCTTTGGAAGCATGTTATATTGCCTGAAAACAAATTAAACTATTTAGCCTCAGTATGTGAAGCTTTCTTTTATGTATATCCATTGAGAGTGAAACACAGTTGC